TTGAAAAAACCTAATTTTAGATAGTATCTAGACTCGTCTAACATTAAATATTCAATACGCGTAGAGTAATGTTATTAGTACTTCTATTGTACTTCTTACGGAACAGTGATAGTAATTTACAATAGGTCCATCAAGTAGAATAATATTTGACAGCCATTGATCTAGAAATATGTGGTATTATTATAATGTTAAATTTAATATTTGATCTCAATATCGAAGAAAACTTAATTATTGTTGTAATAGAAATTTCTGAGAAATTTCATTTAGGTGTTAAAAATGTTTTTGTAAAAGGTTATTATAAAATATGTTTTGAATAAAGTTTTTCGAGTTTCCGAAGGGTATAAATTTTGAATGCTGTTAAAAGAATAAACACAAATTAAGTACTTAACTAAGTTTTTAGAAAACTTCCCATCTTTCATCATAATATCTTAATGTAAATTATGTATAAAACGATTTAACTTTAGAATTTTTTTTTAATTAAAAGTAAAATTGACTGACCGAAAGATATTTTTTGAATTTCAAAGTTTGAATATTTTTATTTTATTAAAATTCAAAAGCTTTTTATTTGAGTTCTTTCAATATTTGCAGAAAAGTTTAATTCATATACAGCGTCTCTAAACAAATTAACTGACAACGTTAATAATTTTTGTGACTTTTTCTGAAAAATTATTAAAATAATTATTATTTCTATGGTTTCTTAAATGTTGTTCATTTCTATGGATTTATTAAAATTTGCGCGTTTCTTTATTTTCATTAAATATTCAGCATTTCTACTACTTTTTTAAATTTTCAACGATTTTATGGCTTTTTTAAATGTTGACCAACGTGTAGTGATTACTAATAAAATTTAGGTATTTTTTCAATTTATTTACAATTTTATGAATAAAAGTTTGTAGTTTTACAATAGCGAAAATACCTAATTACTTGATACTATTAGTAATAATTATTGATAATATAAATCCACAGTAATGTTTAAATTTAAAAAAAGTCTAAAAAATACGAGACATTAATAAAGCTTTAGAAATTTACAACATTTTAGAAATCATAGATTGTTCAAAATTTAAACAGCCATTTAAATGCATAGTTAAAGTATCTTTTCTTTCTTATTTTTAATATTATTATAAAATCATTTAAGTCGTAAATTAGAATTACCTAGGAATGGGTAATAATATGTGATATTGACATAATCAGAAAAAATCTGAGATTTAATCAATCATGTTGAATATGTGTTATCATACAATTTCATATGTAATGCTAAATCATATCGTTGTTTTTATTGAAACAGTTCTTATCTCAAAATTGGATAAAATAGCATTGTTTGTCACTTAAGATTAAAGTAGTGTTTCTGAAATTTTTTTTGTGAGATTCATGGTTTTATTGTAAATTATGTTGATGTACACAAATAATTATCATAACTTGCAGTTTATTGTCTACAGGTAAGATAATTAAAGTTGTATGTAGTTGATATGTAAAACAATACCGTAGCTCGTGTCGAGATTATGGAACGGAATAAAATACATTCAAGGTATAGTTAAGGTATTAGTGAAATAATAAGGAATTTTACATTTAAGCTAAATAGGAAATTTAATTTAATTATTAAAATATGAAAATTAAAACTCACGTGGACAAAAATACAAATGTATTAATAATCATGTCTGCAGAAAAAGGCTGACAATAAAATAAAATATTTAAACAACAATAAAATAATATAACAAACCTTATAGACGTTATTAGATCACATCCGTTAATGTTATCAGGAAAATAACGAATATCTATTGAGTAGTGGCTGGTATCTGTCTGTTTGTTCATCTTTCTATGGAATAATTTTCAAAATTAAATCGAGTCGAGTTGATAGGAAAATTAAAAAAGTTTTCTGTTAAATATTCTAATACCACTTGAATGATTTTTTTTTGCAAATAATTTTCAATTTAAATAAATTTAGTGAGTTTACACCATAAAGATGTATAAATATTATAAACGTATTTTTGTAAATTTTTTTATATAAAATAACTCTTAAATTTTGAATGTGATATTTTATATTACTATAAGTATATAATGATTCTTAAATGGAGTTTGAAGGCAATACATTTTGGATTTAATTCAATGAACAGTAGGGCTAGCATAAACGTAGTATATTCTTAAAAAAACTACAAAGGAATGTTTTTGTTTTGTGGAAACTAGAGATCAATTGTTTAAATCTGTAAAACTTTCGTGAACTGAATAGAAGCTCAGCGTTAACCTTTCAAGAAATCAGGGGTGCTATCAAAAAACTCTTTTATTGTGAAAAAAAGATTTTTAATTCCATTAGTAAACACATTAATATTTTTAGGAAAATACAATTGCTTTGTTTTAGGTGTAAAAACGACACATCACGTGAGTATTATGCTATAGCATCTGGATAAGAAAACATGTGTAATAAGGGCCTAAACATGCTATATACGTTTAAAGACTACAGAGTATAACGGACGTGCACAAATGAAAATAAATCACCTGGCGATTCACTCAGATGCGAGGATTAAATATAGAAAAACTCATAAATGTCATGTTTGAATAGATAATAACAACGAATTAAGTTTACAAATTAACTGTAGTAACAAGTGTTTATTATTAAACTTTGCATTGGTTTTGAAAAACATTGACAGTTGAGAATTATTTTAAATAAAATAGAAAAACTCGTTGTACCTATCAACATTGATTGTATTAGCAAATCATTTTGGTCGAGTTTGAAACACAACAATCTCATTATTTAAATTTTTTTTCTTAATACTGTTTATTCGATTGCTTTGAATGTTCACAATAACATCGTGAAACGCTTTAAAGAAGTGCTAAATTTTCTACTCAATTGAATAAATTTTTTTCATCTATAGAAACTCATCGACTCACATTTACCTTTTTTCCTTTCTTTAATCCGTGTAAATGTTTTTGTTCATTCTACTAGAGTTACTTTTCTAAATTTTTCGTTTTTACAATTCTACGTCTTTTACAATACGAGTTTTCTTTAATAAAAAAATCAGTTTTTTTTTATCATTAAATGTGTTATAGCTATTTTATAACTACGCACTTTAATGGTATTCTATAGATTATATTTATCCTTGAGCGTAGCTTGAAAAATTAATCTGTAATATCTTATATTCTATAATTTCGGATAATAGATCTGCGCCGGAAGTTCTTCCATCACATTGTTTTTTTAATTTCTCTTCTTCCGAAAAATTCAATTAATTTGTGGTACTACGAACATTTTTTTGAGGCTGAAGCCTCTTCAGTCCCCATGCAAACTACGTTACTGAATTGATCAAATAATCAATTTTGATTACTATATTATCATCATGTCAAAATGGTTATAAGCTGCAATTACCGCATTATGTTATAATGCCTGGTATCAACCAGTAAATTACCTTAATAAATTATTAAATCAATTAATATGTTTTTTTTAACATACTTAAAAAGGTCTAGTGGTGAAATTAAAGTTTGCATATTAAAACGTGTTTATGGTAAAACTTCCCTAGACGGTTAACCGCAACCAATGTGTAAACAGTAGCAAAATAAACGATTAAAATTGCTTTAAGCAAATTAATTATTCAAAAGTCAAGTGTTATAAATGAATAATATAATGTGGAGCATTATAATAAAAATGGTAAATATATTATGTATACAAGATTCCTATTATGCGTCTTAATTAAAATATTGTAGACCTTTGATTGTTAAGAAATAGTTCAATTGTAAAAAAGACATGCTTTCAGTATATTTAAGTATAGGTGTTCTCATCCATTCAGTTACGAACCTTATATCACATGATTGAGAGTTGCTAAGTACTTACTTAAAAAAAAACTATGCATAAGATTTTCATCAATTTTTATAATTTCATTCATAATTACTTGATTATGTAACGGTGAAAGTCGAATTAAATAAATTAGTTTTTTTACAAACAATATGAATTGTTTTTCAATAAATATTATATTACAATTTGTTAGTGAACAGTGTTACTGCATTGTTAGTAGGCATCATTAAATTTTATTTCGGCCAATAAAAAATAATCTATTGATAACAAATAATTGTTTATATTTTTCAATTTTCACTTCTTATATTGTTTCACTTTGTGAACACAAGAGTTGTTAAATTATATAACATAATGCAGTGTTCCTCAAAATTAGTTTATTATGATAGCATTTGGTATACAATTATGCAAAAACTCAACAATTCAATGGAATTAATAAAAATAAAGTAAAAAAATAATCACAAGGGTCGGTCGATTGATTGATACTCAGAGGGATTTGACTTTCCCCAACTATAGAAGTTGAGTGGTATAATTTATTTCCTGGGCAATTAATTATATTCGATAAAGTGCTTAATTTGGTAAAGTTGAACCCAAACGTTTTTTAAGGGTTATTCCTATCTCCTTTGTTTTCAACATTTCAATTTTACTCTCTTAAAAAAGGATGAAAAACGTCACAATTAGCAACACATTTCCATACTATAGTATATCACACAGCGCCTTATGAAACAATTAGTATAATTTTTTATTTATACCTTTTTGCTAATCGAGTATAAAGTACTCTGTAACACAATGATCTTATTTTATACTTTTATGAAAAGCAAGTCTTTGTATGGATTTTGTAGCTTAGTACTTATAATAAGCAGCAAAGCGAACTTCTGTTTTATTTTTTTATATTAAGAGAACTTAGTTATACTTTATACAAATGTTAATTTAATTAGTTTGCTACTTATTAATGAGAAGCTTTGACGAAATAATTTAATGGAAAATAAAACCTTCGACGATCAAGACTATAATTTATTTAAATGTAAAATAAAAATTACATTTTATAAGGTTTCTACGATTTCCGATAATTCTTAGTGGGTTATAATATTACACCTGTTTTATTCTACACAACAATATATTATTTTATTAATACAAAAGTTCAATGTTTATTTTTACTTTGTCAGAAATAATTTATATATTGTCGTACATAATTCTCCGTTAAAAGTTTTTCAAATAATTCTTTATTTAATATTAAGTCTTATGCGCCTGAAGTGTTGTAATGGCTCGACTCCAAGTGTTTCTAATATTATTTTCAATACCATAACAGGTATACTACTATTGCGGAAATATTTTATTTTATGTATTTGGCAAAGCTAGTAGCTGAAATCAATCCAAAGCTCAAATTTTATTCAGAAGTCTTTTTATTTTTATGCTAAACAGAATTATTTATTATTTTCACAAAATTATTCTTAGTCTACTTAATATTTTTAAAATCTTTTGAAAAAGCTGGTTTTAGCTACATAGGAAATGTTTTAATAATGCAACATTTTTTTTTATATCTTTTATACATAAATGTAAATGTATAAGGAAATTATTAAAAAAAAAAAAATGTGATGATAAATAAAGAATAGCAAAGTTTTCATGTCCAACTTACATTATAAGGCGACTCTTCACATTACTAATAGATAAAAAAGAATACTATCACTACAGAAATAAAATTTTTATTAAAACATCAAATAGCACAGGATAAACTTTTTTAAAATTAAAAATCAAATGATTATATTAAAAAATATATATTAATAGACAAGTATTACAGTAGTTAATAATATTTTTTATGATAAAACTTCATTTATATTAATATTTATCATTTATTATATACAATAAGTAATTATACTTTTATAAAATAATATTGTCTAATTTTATAATTGTAAATATTTTATCATTTGAATTTCATGAGATATTAGTGTGTATAGATAAACAGTGATAATGTAGTAAATTTTCTATAGCATAGTAATTATGTTTTAGAATAAATGAAAAATTATTCTTTTGTAACTATTAGTTACAAGAGAATAATTTTAACATTAAAAGTTTAAAAGTTATTATTTAATTTTTTACTTTTTCTTTATATTAATGAATATTTTAAATATCAAAACGAACCCGTTGTTAAAAAAAATACTTTTAAAGTGTTCAAATAGTTTACTTTTGACATTCAGGGGTCTTAATATTTTTCTTTTAACTAAGAAATTCTTTTGCTTGTTTTTTTTTTTTTTGTTATTCAATGCCAATATTTTATTTATTTACATTAAACAAACCGATTTAAGAGGGACTAAGTGTTAATTGTTATGGGTGAAACGTTTGGCTAAAGAAATTGGAAAATTCTCAGTTATATGTTTGTGAACCAAGTCACGAATGACAAATAAAGCGACAACAGATCTTAACGGTTCACGATTAACAAGAGATGTAGTAAATGTGAAAATATACCACCTCGATCTCCATGAATAAAACATTAAGAAAAAATGTTCAATAGTTAAAATAAGAAGGTCCTAGTGATAATATCGTAACAACACGTTATGTGTTAAATGGGTGATATTAGGTTAATACCGAAAATGGTAGTTACTATTAAACCAGAAACGTGAATGGCGTAATATTATCGAATATTATTATCATTTGTATCTTACAAATGAGAAAATTGATGATATTTTCAGTAATGTTCATAATTAGTTAAGTATAATAAGTAGCCTTTAATGTTCAAATTTGTCTGAGAAGCTGTGAATTTGATTTTCATTTGGTTTAGTTTTTGTTAAATGCTGAATTTATAATCGAACCATATTCTGATAACTTAAGGTATTTTGTGTGTTTACAGGATATTACTTGTATGAACAAAATGTTTGTGTATTCATCAAGTACTTCAGTGTATAGGTATATTTGAACTGACTTATATTTAAACGAGAACAATATTTATTATTGTATTTGGTTCTTTATATTAAAATGTTGAAGTTATGCATTTAAATAAATATAAAATGAACGAAAATGTTTAGTGAGTTCGTTTACTACAACAAATACCAAAATTGATAGAAAATATTTTTTTAAATTGCGTTTTGTATTCATTTAAAGTTGTTTACAAACATTCTTTACATTAAAATATTTTATTTTTAATGTAAATATTTAGTAGCAACTTTGTATGTTTACAAATTAAGTGTTTCTGTTTTAGATTACCAGGAGAATATTCAAATTAAAATATGCAAGTCTGCGCAGTAATAATTTTTCAGTGATGTAATTGTCAGTGAAATGTACCTGTAGTCATTGTGATTTATCAAGAATAATATATATTATTGCTGGTTTTATTTATTACATCGAACCAGCAATATTCAATGGAACCTTTGCATTTATTTATTTAAATTTATAATTGTTTTCAATATTTAATTTTTGTTCTTTAATTAAATTAATTTTTATTTCATAAGTTTTTAATCTGCTTATTATAGGTATTATTAAATTATCGATTATGCGAAGCTTGCACACAATATTATTCAACAGTTTAGTTTATGTTTTAGAAATGTATATGAAACTTCTGTTTGTTCAAAATAGGTTTCTATAAATTATTTCCAAAACCATTAAAACGAATGAACAGCGAATTTTAGTTAATAATAAATAATAAAATCGTGACTGTTTTTGAAATATTTATTGTATTATATTGAGTTTATTGATGTTAATTGTACCGTTTACTATAACAAGAAACAAATAAAAATGTGTAATTGGTTCTATTTATACTTTAAAATAATTTTTCAAATGAAACTTTACAGGCAAAATAACTTAAATATAATTGATTCTTTACGATTCACTAATTAAAATTATACTTCATTGACTCCATAAAATTGTGTAATTTGTATTATTCGAGTAGCAAGTTACAGTAATCTCATACGAAATTATAATTTTATGAGAAATCTGTTTTTTTATTATTTTTTTTATGTAACTTCATTTCTTATAGATACAAACGTTACTTTGTTACTTTTACGAATAAATAAAGAAACTATAGATTTTGACTCAGTAATTTTTTAAATATGTTTGTAATAATTTATATTCTTAATAAAAATCTATGTACCGGGAGGTGTGAATCAGTTTGTTTTTCAGTTGCCATTAAATTTGAAATTTATTCACTTACAAAAGCTAATCTAAATAAATAAAATAGAAAAAATCTCTTCTAGTAATTATATCCCAATTTATAAAAGTGTACATGAATAATGCGACTTTAAGTGGACGTTTTTCAATAGATGACAAAGGGACGGAGCGGGAGATTTGTCATGTACTAGGACCAGTAATTTCTGAGTTATTAACCACTACACGAGGACACGCAATATTTCACAGCGAAATTGACAATCGCCAGTCAACGGAAATGATTTATGTGACCAACAAGAGCTCACATTACCCTCCTATCTTTGCTTCTCGTCCAGTATATTTCTTATTACCACACGTTTCACACACGAAACTACATACTTCCCTGTCATATTACTTCGGAACGCTGTTCTTTTGCTGAAATCTACTTAGGTTAACGTGGTGAAAAAAATTGAAAGAAACAAAAAACATGCGAGAGTGCCTGTGAAATCCCATTTACTTCGGTAACCCCTACGTTGATATGTATTAAGTTGTTTCATAAAAAATTTTATTTTTTATTACATTATTCATGTATTATAATGTAATTTTTGTTTCACTTGAAAACGCTTTAAGGGCTATCAAAAGTACATAACCAATTAAACTAAAAAATAAATTAAGAATAATATATTTCCAGTACCTATTAAATTATCTTAGATTGTTTGAAGGGAAATGTAATTATGAAATGATATCAATTTTAAACAGCCCCATTCGAATATAATATATATTTATGGGATGACATTAATGGTAATATGTATTTACCATCACTATAATTTCGATGACATTTTTTATAACGTCTATCTTAGAGATAACGTGACGTTTTATCGTTAAATAATTTATTAGTTATTGTTCTTGATTATTATAAAAATATTACATTAAAAAATGACCATGTTTATAGAAAAAACAGATTCCTTGACTACTTAGTAAAATATTACATATGTATAAATAATAGGGAGTTCTTGTTAATTTATCATGAAAAGATAAAAATTCTTATTGGAAAATAGTGGTTAAAATTTAAATATTGTAAGCATTTACAAATATTAAACATTATAATACACCAATATAAAATTTTTTGACTTCTTAAAAAAAGTTCACACCCATCTCATTTTTTTATTTACTCCAATTTTAAAGTTAAAACTTTTAAGCATTTATAATATTTAATTTTTTTAACAACGTCACAATTTTGTTCTCAAAGCATAATTTCATACGCTGATATTTTTTTTATATCAAAACTTAGGTAAAATTCTTGATAAAGTACAAGATATTTTGGCTGAACAAAAAAAAATTTTGATAAGCATTAAGCATCCAACATTGTATTTTAACAAGTTCTAATAAGAATATATTATTTTTATGAATAATTTTCAGGTTTAAATCAAAAAGTTTTAATAATTGACAAGTTAACATTAAATTGTCCTATGCATGGAATATTTTAGTACTAATTATTTGATGAGACATTTTTATTTGATGTTTAAGCCGTTTTCCATATAAATGAACACAATAGTTAACATGGAAGTCATTAAAATAAACGTATGTTCAACATGCGTTCTAAAACGTGACAAATTAACTAATAAGTGTCTTTGAAATGGAAGACTCGTCAAGGGAGTATAGTACTTTGCTGCAGAATAGCTAGTTTCATAATCATGTATGTAGGAAATTTATTTTAACATTGATCTTTCATAAAATTATTCTGCGAATTTTTAAAAAAATCGTTTCGTATCTAGTTAAAGACATTACACTTACAATAATTGAAACATTTTCTCCTGTTCCTTGTAAATGGTAAAAATTTACAAAAAGTTTATATTTTTAAAACTGAAAAATTTTGATATTTTTTCTTAAAATTGTCATACCTTTTTGAGACAGTGTACTCAACACATACCACTTAAATGACAGATTGCTGATGGTAAAAATAGAAGCAAAACCTACAGACATTTACATTATTCAAGTGTACTTTCCTACATTTAGAAGTATAGATGAAGATATTGAAGAGACATACTGACAGATTGAAGAACTAATACAACCAACAGAATGAAAGTCAAACGTATTTGTCATAGGCTTTGTGAGAAGCTGAACTTCTCAGGAAAATATGAACTGGTGAAGAGAAACGAAAGAGGGGCAAGATTGTTAGAATTTTGTGAACAACAGGAACTGATAGTAACAAATACATACTTTGAAGTCCCACAAAGGAGAAGATACATAAAAAAAGCACATGGAGATACAAGTCGGTATCAAATATCATACTTGTAAAAATAACAATAGTGGAAGTCTATCGCTGGATTTTGTCGAAAGTAGAACTATAACAGTTCTGAAGAAAAGCAATGCAACAGAATGTGGAAACTATAGATCTACTACGCTCCTTTCTTATGCTTCAAAAATGCTTCTAAACATTATCAAGAACTGATTGAAAGAGAATATAGAATGAAATATAACGAGAAGATCAGTTTGGATTTAGGAAAGGGCAAGAAATAAGAGAAGTGATATTAGTACTGATACTGATCCTCAAGAGAAGAATTGCACTGAATAGAAATATTATAGCAACATATATAGGTCTAGAGAAAGCTATTAATAAAGTGCATCGAAGAATCTTTTTCATGGTATTAAGGGAAAAAAGAATTGACTGGAAAGATAGACGGCTCTTTTCAACTTATATAAGGATCAAACAATAGAAATAAATGTAAATAAATCTGTAAAAGAAGCAAGAATAAGGATAGGAGTGAGACAATGATGCCCTTTGTCGCCCTATCTATTATATTTTTCATTGAAATGAGCATATACATATTAAAAACCAATACCAATAGAGTGAAAATAAATGTTTTGAACATATCTTGTAACTTGTCTTTTGTTTCACTGATGAATTTGGCGTCAAACATAGAGGAATGGCTTTAACGGCAATGCATTGCCTTAAATAGTTGCTGATGATCAAATTTTTTTAAAATGAATAAATCTAAAACATTTTTTAGCTTCAATGCAATGCTGAGAAGGTATTAATTTTATCATGATGTGTTTATTTATTTTTTTTATGTCTGTCACTACTTTTTTAGAGATTTTTTTCAACGATTGTTTGAAAGATCACAAATTGTATCTAATTAAAGGCATTATTAAATATTGAAAAATTTTTCCTCGTTCTTCGTAAATGGTTGAAATACCCAAAAAATTATAATTTTTAAAATCGGTAAATTTTAACATTTTTTCACTTTATTTTATAACAATTATTACAACTTATTGAAAAATGAACTAATCAACAAAATTTTTTTAAATTAAAACTTTTGGTATTTCCTTTGATTTGATGTATAACTTTTTTTGAAAATCTGACTCTTACCTGCTCACGGGGGAGGATTCAAAATGGCAATATTTTTACAAAACTCAAAATTTTCAACTTAATTTTAGAAAATGTTCCGAAAATACTGCGTCCTTTAACACAAGTTAAATTAAAGCTTATATTATGTACCACAAATTAAAAAAAAAGAAAACATTTGTCCAGACGACTTATCTTCTGTGGCTGTCGTAGTTAAAATTTTGTGTTTTAATTTTGATTTTGTGTTAAANGTCCTTTAACACAAGTTAAATTAAAGCTTATATTATGTACCACAAATTAAAAAAAAAGAAAACATTTGTCCAGACGACTTATTTTCTGTGGCTGACGTAGTTAAAATTTTGTGTATTAATTTTGATTTTGTGTTAAAATTTTCAATTTTCAATTTTCAATTTTTTTGTTTATTTTAAAATACCTTATAAGAGTTTGCTATAGTAATGAGTCCACCAATTTTTATAAAATGTACATGAATCTAACTTGCATGATATATAAATTTGTATTCCATTCTTAACTCTGTTTATACTTATTTTGATTATTTTTCTTTCTCAAAGTTAAGAAAAGCTTCTTTGAATTTTTGAACGAGCTTAAATTGTCTTTTTTGACTAATATTTATATAATTCTCGGTGGCTGCGTTGAATATAACACAGATTTATACGCTCAGGGTACGAAGTGCGATTCCCGCCCGTCAAAATAACTTTTTATGCATTTTTTTCTTAATTTTATTTTGAGGTGGAAAAAATTTAAAGTTTGTTTGATTTTTATCTTATTTAGATTGAATAACTTCAATAAATATCAAGCACCCAATCAATGCAGGTTCCTAATATTTAACGAATCATCCTGTATATAACAACATTATAACTTTTATAATTTCTCCGTAAAAAATACAATACTAAATTATTAATAACTGAACTATTAC